CGGTCGAATTGACCAACCTCGTAACCATTTTGTGTTCGTGCATTTTACAGTGTAACATTAAATTTTAACATTGAAAGTGATGTAGTGATGATCTATGTACAGCTGTATCATCCCTATATTCTTGTTTGCATTCTTTGTTTTTTGGCACTTCCATTCCTATATCATTTTACATTTACAAAATGTTTTTTATTACTTGTTTTGTGACGTTTTTCTCCCTGAATAAAAGTTAGTACATTCTATGAATGTGGGTTATAAAATTTAATATTATGTGTATTGATTTGTCTTTACTTCTTCACTTCATAAATAATATAAGGGTTGGATCCCTAAAGACATCGATTGTATAGTGAACAAAGCATTAAATATTCTGCATGTTACAATCATTTAATGTTCATCTATTATTATTATTGGTTGGTAATTTCTGTTTCATCCTGTACTTAAGCTTTTTAAAGGAACAGCAGATTTCTATAAGAAAGCTAACTTCAAGGGGTAATCATAACATCGTTTACACTAACATTATGATTTTCTCTAAATTACTACTAGTTATTACGACTAAGAGATGACATCGTGCACTGCTCAGAAACACATAGAATGGATTAAGGTTTAAACTGACGTTAGTGATAAAGATATTGTAGAGTTATCTCGACTAAAACAAGAAGAAGAAAGACGAAAAGTTTGGTGGGTTGGTCACATTCTGGTCTGGTGTCTTAGCGATGGTTTCTTGCTTTGTTTTGGAGCTTGTTGGGTAGAGAAACAAGTAAAAGTGAATGACAATCATTTTTTCAAGTAAAACTCGCTGTCATTCTTAATTTTTAGCGAGTATATTTGTATTGTGCCTATTGAGTACCTTGGCCATCCATACATATAGAGACGACCTGCTTTATGATGATGTAGAATCAGGTACTGTTCGTGCTAAATCAAGTTGTCAAGTTCTCACAGCACACAAACCTTGTTCCGAAATTCATTAAGCGCTTAAAGCTTTATTTGTATATAATAGAGTTACAGGAGCTGATGCTTCATAGTAATAAATTTGCATACGATATATATATATATTTAGTGTTTATTTAGAGATAAAAACTTTATAAAGTTGCAGATAAAAATAACTAGAAAACATTTTACCGAAAATAATAGCAACCAAACCATCCTTAGATCTGAATAACATAGTGCGTTAAAACCTTAGCATGTTTGCTACTCCAAAAATAACCTCAATAACTGTGGCCAGTAAAATAATGATTGATTCAAAAGTTTAACTGAAACGAATAAATATAGACATCTGATTATGATCGGCATCAACGACGAGGCATACTGGTTTCACGAGCTAAGTGTACACCTCTACATACTGGTTTCACGAGCTAATCGTACACATTTTCTTCCTTGTCATAATTCGTTTCTAAGAAAGTTTCAACGGTTTCCAGATCATTTTCTTCTATCTCGTCAGACCGCTTACGGCGACCAATTACCTGTGGTTGTTGGCCGATGATTTGCTGAGGTAAAGGAGAGCAAGTTAATTAAAAACAGCTATTTAAGAGGCAAAAACATGAACAGCTATTTTCAGATTTTGACTTATATAAACAATAAACAACATATAAGATAGATTCTGAAATACACTTAGTAACTGTTATAAGATGTATTTTGAAATACACTTAATAACTGTTATAAAATGTATTCTGAAATACACTTAGCAACTGTTATAAGACATATTGTGATATACACTTAGCAACCGTTATATGATCTATTCTGAAATACAGTTAGCAAATGCTATAAGATGTATTCTGAAATACATTCAGCAATTGTTAGAAGATATATTCTGATATACTCTTAGCAACCGTTATAAGATGTATTCTGGAATACCGTTAGAAACTGCTATAAGATGTATTCTGAAATACACCCAGCAATTGTTATAAGATGTATTCCGAAATACATTTAGCAACTGTTGTAAGATGTGTTCCGAAATACATTTAGCAACTGTTGTAAGATATATTCTGAAATACATGTAGCAACTGTTGTAAGATATATTCTGAAATACATTTTAGCAACTGTTGTAAGATATATTTTGAAATACGCAACTGTCTGCTACCGAGCTTAGTGTGGATATCTTACGTTTATTCAAAAAGTTCCGTCGACACAGGCACACACGAAAATAATGGAGTTCAACAGCAGTTGCCCGCGTATGTTAACAGATGGCAAAACAATTCATTACGTTAGATTGGCTGTACTAGTACTGTCATGTTTTGTACCACGTATTCTGTTCAATAGAATGACAGTAATAAAATATGTCACGGAGATGGGTCTTGTGTACGAGAGTGCTTACAGTTTTTCATTTTTAGTGTTATTGTAAAATAATTACAAAAAAGCAAATTAATGCAATAAAGAAATGAGGTTACTAAAATTTTAAACTAATGCAAAATAACATAAAACTACATGCAGTATGTGTGAAATGTGAAAGACTTGATTACTTAAAACAAACATCTTTATAAACAATCAGCAAAATCGTTACCTAGAAATTAATTTTTCATTAAAAAATATTAATCAATATTTTTTTCCCAAAACTTAAAATTACTCACACTTAAACAAGTTGTCAAGAGGCAGAAAGCTTGGGTTTGCGTAGAATTCACAGGTAAGGATGTCTGTAAAAATTCGTATTATATCCTTTATAAGCACACTTATAGAATTATAGTTTCAAAAAATCTGAAGTTCGTTAAAAAACCCACAAATGACCTTTATTTTATATTTATTAAATATATTAATTTTATAAAGAAAGTGATATAAATATGTATATTTTTGGAAGCGATAATACAACAAATGTGTTATACATTTATATTTTAATTTATAAAAGTACTTTCATAACATCCAGTTACGTGGGTTTCTTATTAATTGATTACAAAAAAAAACATTTATATGTTATTATTATTTAGTACATTTATGAATTACTAGGGCCCGGCATGGCCCGGTGGATAAGTCACTCGATTCGCAATCCGAGGGGCGTGGGGCTAGCAACTCCACCCCGATAACAATTTGCTACAGAAACTGCAACAACACTTCCGTCGGCGAAGTGTTGTTGTAGCCCTATGTTCCACTAGGAACGACGGGAACTAAGAAGAAGAAGATGAATTACTATTATAATTAAAAGGAAGCTATCTAGATAATACGTATTGTAGCAAAACGATGAACAAACTTGAAAGGTGTTTCATAAGTGTTAAAAAGTTTTTATTGAAGTCTTTGTAAGGTAAGCAACACTAAAACCTCCGAAATAAATGTCCAACTTTTTTTTTCATAAATCTTCATATTTTATCTGCTATATTCACTTCCCTAATTATATGTGAAGTTGGTCAGTTTGACCAGCCTTGTAACCACCATAAAAAATACAAAATAAATCAAAATTATCCTTTTTTTGCTTTCTAGAATTACTTCAAATTGTAGCAGGAAACTACATTTGCTTATACTAAATAACTTAAAGCTTTTAACTTTATACATTTGTTTCTAATTAAATTTTATTGTTTTATTAGCCACTTGAAAAGTGCT